TGCGTCAAGCGCTACGCCTCCCTGCCGCACATCAGCGCGCTGCCGGGGCCCGCGGCTGACGCCGCCCGCCGCAGCAGCGACGGGGAGGCCCGGCCGCTCCCGAGGGTGGCGGCCCCGGGCACCACGTGGCGTCGCATCCGGGACGAGGACGTTCCGCACATCCTTCGGAGCACGCTGCCCGCCACCGCCCTGCCCCTGGTGGGCGCCTCCCCCGAGGAGGGCCCCGGCGGGACCCCGCAGCGCAAGACCAGCGACGCCGTGGTCCAGACGGAGGACTTCGTTGCCGCCAAGACCAACTCCAGCACGTCTCCGAGTCTGGAGAGCAGGGGGCCCCCCCAGGCCCTGGGCGGCGGCCCCGCATGCTTCCCTGGCAGCGATGTGGATGGGCCCTGCCCCCCCAAGGCGCCCACCTCTGCCCCCTTCGTCCATGAGGGCCTGGGGGTGGCCGTGGGAGGCTTTCCCACCAGCCGGCACGGCTCCCCCAGCCGCGCGGCCCGCGTGCCCCCCTTCAACTATGTGCCCAGCCCCATGGTGGCAGCCGCCGCCGACTTGGCCGCAGAGAAAGCCCCCACCGCTGCCCCCGCCAGCCTTCTGGAATAGTGGCCGGAGCTGGCCTTCTGGAACATCCTCTCCCGGTCGAGGGCTGGCCTGGCTGCCCAGGGGGTGGTCCCACGGTCCATCTGCCCTCCAGAGCCCCTGTCCTTGGAGCCCCCCTGCAGCCTGAATCGGCCTCCCATCTCATGCACAGATGCTTGCTCCGCGCCGCGGGGGCTCTGGAAGGACGTGGAGCTGAGGGCCGGAGCTGCGGTCCCAACCTGGCCCCCACGCAGAGACCACCCTCCTAGCTCGGGCTGCCCTGCGCAGTGTGCTCGTGGCCCCGAGCTTCAGCAAGACCCTCCCGTTTCGGGAGGTGCAGGGAAGTGGCAACCCGCCCGGCGTGGGGGACGGAGCGGGGAGGGTGGCCCCCTCGAGCGGGCGCCCGCCCGCGCGCGCCGGGATGAAGCCTGTAACGTTGGAGGCCGGGTAATTGGTTAATGATGGCTTTGCCGGTTCGCTTGCCGTCTCAGCCCCAGCTGGGGGTGTGGGGGCGGGCGCGGCTGAGCCCCAGACAGCGCCGCCTAGCGAGTCGGGAGCGCCCCGCCGCCGGGCGGCCCGGAACTGCAGGGAGAGACTGGTGCCCGGTCGATGGGGACGGTCAACGGTGTGGTCGGACAGCCCGGCTGGGGCGGGGGCGCGCGACCGCAACGGGCCGGAGGAAGCGTGTGGAGGGACGCCCCCGAAGGCCACCGCCGCCGCGCTTCTCTATTCCATTCTCCTTCGCCACGCACGAAGCGCTGGGCCCCACGGGCCTCACGCCAGGGACGGCACAGCTGCGGCAGATGCCGGCCCCGGGTCGGGGACAGGGGTGGGGGGGGGAACGGATGGCAGACGGCGAGCCCCGAGGCCTCGCTTCTCCCCTCTCATGTGCAGCTCAGGGCCCCCGGGTGCGCGCGTGTTCAGCCTCAGCCCCGAGAACGCCTCCTTGCAGGGAGAGCCGGCGACCTCTTTCCTGCGGCGCGGGGGGGGCCCCCCGGGGAGAAGCTGATCCTGGCGAGCGGATCTGCTGAGACAGCCGCCCCGCCGGAGCGCCACCCCCGCCGGGGCAGATGCCGTCAGGGGAGACAGCGTGGCTGCCGCAAGTCCCTTCTCTGAAGAGCAGTGGAGAGCCCCCGCCCGCGGGCACCGCTGACCCTCCCCGTCACCCAGAAGGGGTTCCAGTGGCCGCCACCCTCGGCTCGGGGAGCCCCTGGGAGCCATGCTGACCCCGATGCCACACGCACCCCGCTGCATCGCACCCCCCAGATGCCCCATCCCGTGGGACGGGAGCCGGGCCCAACCTGAGCGTCCGGCAGGCAGGGATGGCGTGTGAGCCCGCGTAAGGCCTCGGCCCGCCCCTCGGGCCACACGGGCCTGTGTCAGAGACCCCCAGTCCCCGTCCCCGCGGTAGCCCGCGGGGCCCGGACTGGGGGTCGCCCGGCTCCTTTGTGGATTTGGGGACTGCCAAATACTGTCTGTGCTTCCAGTCCCCGCGGGCCAGGCTTCCCCGAAGTGGCCTGGCGGGAGGGAAGAGGCAGCAGCAGGCCCGCCAGCGGCTCGTCCAGCCACAGGGCCCGGGGCTTCGAGCACCCACGCACTGTGAGACCCTGGGCACTGCTTTCGCCGCTCTGTGCCTCAGTCTCCCCACGTGGGCCGTGGGGAGAACTCCCAGAGCTACCTCTTGGGCGAGTGGAGAGACCACCAAGACTGGGGGAGAGACCTCGCTGCCGCCCCCTGCCTGCCTCTCCACGGGCGGGGCCGGAAGGCAGCCCCACGCGGGCCAGCACACAGGCGCTCCCTCCCCGTCCGTGCCCGGCAGCCACTTTTGCCTTTTCCGACCCCCTGCACTGGGGGCACAGCCACACCTCATCATCCAGCCTGGGCGGGCCGCAGGGGCCCTGGCGGCACAGATTTCTGGAGGCGGCGGTTGGCGGTCACCGGACAATCAACCTGAGTCGGGGGCTGAAGACCTAAGGTCTCAGGACCCAAAGGACCGACCCAGCCACCCGCCAAGGGGACACGTCAAGGACCCATCCGCCTCTGGGGCACTCCTGGGGTGAGCCCGAGGGGGATGACTGTGACTTCGGGCCCAGGGCCGGCCGGACGCACCCGCTGGCGCAGCATTACCTCACCCCTGCCGCCCCCGCCGGCCTCCCGGTTGGCGGCCACGGCACCCCACAGCCCGAGCGTGGTTGTCCCGGCTCATCCCTTCGTGTCTCCGTCCCGGGTCTCTGCAGCACCACAGGCCACGTGTAAATACAGCCCATCCACCCCCACCGACCACGCAGCCGGCGTCTGGCGGGAGGAAGCCACGGAACCAGGCGTCTCACATGCACCTTTAATAAACAGCTGTTGAATCGCGCTGATGCTTGTGGCTGCGTTTCCAAGTGGGCGAGGAAGGGGTTGGGGGCCAGGAGGGGACTCCGGGGCCTTCTGTCCTGCCCACCCCTTCTGGGGTCCGGGTGATGGCCCAGCCTGGCTTCTGCCGGGAGCAAGCAGATGCCCCTTTGGGCAGGTCCCTGGACGCAGAGCCTGAGTGTGGGCCCGGGATCCCAGGTCGACAGCACCGGGAGGCAAGCGGGTGCGCCCCTGCCTGACCCCAGGGGACTCCGAGTGGACAGCGCCCCGGAGTCAGGAAGCGCTGGAGACCGGGGCCAGGCAGGGAAAGCGGAAGAACTTCTCACCAAGGGCGTGCCGTGAGCAGCAGGGCGGGCGTGCGATGGTCAGGCGTCCCCAAGGCCCCCTTTCTGGGTCTTGGTTTTGGGGCCTCTCAGGGTTGAGCAGGCTCCCCTTCTTCAGGGAAAGAGAAACACCTCCGGGGATGCTCGGGGTCCCCCGTGTCAGGGTCCTGCTGTGGCGCTTCGGAGCTCCCACGGAGCCCCGGACGGGCAGCCACGAGCAGCCTGGCTTCTGGGACGCCTCTTGCAGCCAGCCACCTCTGCTCCAGGTTTCTGAAAGTTGCTCTTTTTGAGCGAAAAACCCTTTTCAAGATCCGCTCCTGTTCCATACACCTGCCCGTAGACGAAGCCTTCCAGGATGAAGGCAGCCAGCGAGGGCTCGGGTGGGAGACTGGCCAGCTCGTCCCCTCCCGGGAGCCAGGCCAGGCACCCCCGTGATGGGGTGGGTCCCAGGTGGGTCCCGCACCCCGACGGGTAACCCGCCCCGCAGGAGCGCCCAGGCCTCGGATCAGGGTGCTCAGTAGGGGCACCACCAGAGGCCCCGTCTCCGGTCCGGGCCCTGCTGGGCAAGTGCTCCTCCAGCAGCCGGCCACTGTCTGGAGGGAACGGGGTGCTCTGCCGGAATCTTGCCCCCCCCCCCCCTCCGCAGTACACGCAGAGATGGGCGGAGACAGAAAGCAGCCGGGGTTCCACGGGGTTCCATCTCCGTTGCGATGACGCTGGGAAGCAGGGTCGCGAGGGGCAAAGAGGTTGGACGGACCGGCCCTCGGGTGCCAGGGACCCCGCACGAAGCCCGGTCTGGGCTCCACGGCCGGGGCGGGCGGCACCCACACTGCCCCAGACCCGCCCCTCGAAAGGGGCCCGCGCCCGGCGAGGCAGCTGTGTCTGTCACCCCCCACGCAGGCTGTGGGCCCCGGGGTCTCCGGGCCCCGGGGGCGAGCCCGGGCCATGCGACCCAGGGGCCCGCGTCTGAGGCGTGCCGGGTCAGGTGTCTCGGGGGGGGGGGGGGGGGGGACCAAAGGTGCCGGTGAGCCGCGGGGCGCCCTGCCGGGGTGCGCGCTAAGGCGAGCTGGTGGGCCAGTCAGCCCAAGGAGGCGGCCACGGCCCCTGGGGGCGCCCCCTGCTTCAGCAGGCGGACTTCCCGCTCCAGCCCCTCGCCGGCCCGCCACAGGTCCTCACGCTTCTGCTTCAGCCCGTCGCCCGCCCGCTGCAGACGCTGATTCATGGCTACGTAGGCGCGGCTCTGCCGGTAAAGCTGCTGCTGCTGGGCCTCCGCGTCCTCCGCCCTCCCGGAGAGGCCTGGGGAGTCTGGGGACGGCACACAGCACCCCGGTCAGGGAGCGACAGGGAGAGGATCCGGCTGGGGGCACGGATCACAGAAGGGGCGGGACACCCCTGTCCGGGGATCGGCCTCCACGTCCACCCGCAGAGGGCGGGGGCCCACAACGGAGCCACAGGGCAGGCTGGCTCCCGCCCCACTCTCGTCCCACAACCTCTTCTCTGTTCTCGAGACCTCGTGAGACCCAGCACCCGGGGTTGGGAGGAGGAGGAGGATTGGGACGCGCGTTTCCCAGCGGCCCCGCTTCCTAAAACAGCTCACGCCCGGCCAGCAGCAGAGACCCCACAGGGCTCAGGTCCCCTAGAGACTTGTCAGATGCTCCCGACGTGCCCGCAGGCGGTCTCGGACAGGAGCCCCGCCAGCAGGGGGAGCCCCTCTCCCTTCAGTGAGCCCGAACGCAGCCCGTGCCTCAGTCTCCCCACCGTCAGGATGCTGGGGGCCCGGGGCTCAAGCAGCCTTCCGAGAAGCAGCTGCAGGACGGGGATGAACACCAGTTGTGCCCCACCTGCCAGAACATTCTGGATGGCGGAAAGCCCTGCAGGTGAGCTGTCCAGTACAGAACCAGCCGCCAGCCAGGCGTGGTTCTCGAGCACTTGAAGCATGGCCACACGGAGCAAAGAACCCAATTTTTACTACTTCTTAATTTTTTTTTTTTTTAATTCCCAAAGCAGGGGCGGGTGGATGACTCTGTCGGTCAAGCGTCCAACTCTTGATTTCAGCTCAGGTCATGATCTCACAGTTCCAGACTTCCAGCCCCGCGTCAGGCTCCGCGCTGAGCATGACACCTGCTTAAAATTCTCTCTCTTCCTCCCTCCCTCTCTCAAAATAAGTAAATAAACTTAAAAAAAAAGAAAAAAATCCCAAAACGTCTCTCACCATCTATGGCTTCACAAGACTTAACGGTGAATTCTCTTCCCACTAGACCAGCCCGAGGGCGGGCACTGGCCTCGACTTTGTTCACCTCCTGACCCAGTGCCCAGAGCAGCACCTGGCACGAGGCCGGTACCTTCTTCGGGAAGGTTGAACGAGTGAGTCAACGAACCTCATCAGGGCCACAGCTAAGCGGGCGGGCTCTGTGCCAGTACCGCGACGCGGCCACTGAAATCCCAACTTCAAGCCACTCTCCTTCTCACCGAGTATCCTCCCCCACCGCCACTGAAAAACCCGTTTGTTCGTGTTTTTAATTTTAGGATTTCACTTTTAAATAATCTCCACACCCGGCGTGGGGCAGGAACCCACAACCCCGAGATCCAGAGTCCGCGCGCTCCGCGGGCTGAGTCAAAAATGCATTTCTAGGGGCGCCTGGGTGGCGCAGTCGGTTAAGCAGCCGACTTCGGCTCAGGTCACGATCTCGCGGTCCGGGAGTTCGAGCCCCGCGTCGGGCTCTGGGCTGACCGCTCGGAGCCTGGAGCCTGTTTCCGATTCTGTGTCTCCCTCTCTCTCTCTGCCCCTCCCCCGTTCATGCTCTGTCTCTCTCTGTCCCAAAAATAAATAAACGTTGAAAAAAAAAATTAAAAAAAAATGATTAAAACCAAAACAGTACTTATGTTTAAAGATAAGCATCACTGGGGCGCCTGGGTGGTGCAGTCGGTTAAGCGTCCGACTTCGGCTCAGGTCACGATCTCGCGGTCCGGGAGTTCGAGCCC